GCAGAACGAGGAGGAGGAGGAGTAGGAGGAGTAGGAGGAGGAGGAGGAGGAGGAGGAGGAAGAGGAGGAGGAGGAGGGGCAGGAGGAGGAGGAGGAGGAGGAGGAGGAGGAGGAGGGAGGAGGGGCAGGAGGAGGGAGGGGGGAGGGAGAGGAGGAGCAGGAGGAGGAGAAGGAGGAGGAGGAGAAGGAGGAGGGGGAGGAGGAGGAGGAGGAGGAGGAGAAGGAGGATGGGGAGAATGATAAGAGAGAGGAGGGGGATAGGAGGGGAGGAAGGGGCTGAGGAGCGGGAGGAGGAAGAGGCTGAGGGGGAGGGACGGAGCACCGCGGAGGCTTGACGTCCGCTTGGAAAGAGAGGCGGACGAGCGGGAGGTCACGGGTCACTCCTTGCATCACGAGATGAGCCCCCCCCCCTCCCGTCGGCACAGCATGGCGCACCGCCCGTCGGCATGCGGGCCGCCCAGCGTTTTGTCGTTTTTTGGCCGGTTCCGACGCCGTTTTTTTTACCGGTTCCGTCGCAGTTTTTTGACCGGTTCCGGCTCCGGTTCCAATCCTGGAGCCGTTTTATTGCCGTTTTTGGTCGCCGTTTTTTTTGCCGCTTCCATTTTCAAGGGACATGTTCTTGGAAACGGTGAAAAAACGGCCCTGCCGTTTCCGGGGCCCACAAAGGGGCCGTGCTTTCGAGGATCGAAGGAGGTGCCATCTCTTCTGTGGCGGAAGGCGGCGGAGCGTCGGCGGAAGGCGGCGTCAGTAAAACGGTGGCGCCTCCGCCGGCGGAAGCTGGCGGAAGCTCGGCGGAAGCCGGCGGAGGCAAAAGTCGACCTCCCAAGAGATGACCCTGTTGGGGGGAGCTCAGGACTGCCGGAATCGGCCGGATGGTTCCGCCATCGAGGACGCCTGTCCCAGGGCGGCCGGGCTTGTGCACACAGAAGCGGCGGCACGTCGTGGCAGAAGGCTTGCCACCGCCCCCGGGACAGGGGTCACCGGTGGCGGAAGATGTGTGGTTGTGCAGCTCTTCGTGCGGAGGGGTTCCTCGGATTGGAGTGCGCACGCTCCTACTGGGCAGCTTCCTCAGAGAGGTAGGCCTCTGGAGGCACCCTCTGGAGTCCTTCAGACTTCTGTCGGGTTTCACGCCGGTCAGTGAAATTAGGTACTTTGGGGCCCCCGGATCCCGATCTATTATAGCCGCCTTCCTACTTCAAGAGTCGAACGCTGTTCCGTCTTCCCTCCTCTTCATTGGGCGGGCGGAAGCCCAATCTACTTCCAACGCGTTCCTACTTCATTGTTCTACCCACTTCTTCCGACCGACGGATATTGAGGGGACGCCCTGAAGAGTTTGAGGGAGATCATCAGGGCTCCTTGGGACATATGCCTTTAGAGAGTATTGGGATGCCTTTGGTTTCCTGAGGAATCCTCCGGGATCCTAAGGGAATCGCCAGGGAAACGTCGGAATTATGCGGGAAGTTTTGGGATTGTTAGGTAAATCGTCAGGGTGTCTGAGGAGAGGACATCGGCATGAGACCGTGGAATTGCTAAGGCCCCAGGAGCAGAAATCCCAATGGCCCCTTCCCCCCCCGCTGGGCAAGTGGGGAGTCCACGGGGCATGTTCGCCAGGGAGGCGCTGGAGTCGTCTGTCTTGTTGTTAAGATGGCGCCTCGTTCATGCGCCCCCCTCCCAGGGCAGAGCCGTTCGGATGCTCAAGAGATTGCCCAACCGATGCTACGCACAAGGCGAAGGAGGCGCAGCCGATCTCCTTGCGTAGCCGTGAGGCGGGCGAGCCTCACTTCGCCCGCCCCGTCGATCTTCTGGCGCCCCGCTGAACGCTGAACGCTCCGCCAGGAGGAGGGGGAGGGGGAGGAGGAGGAGGAGGAGGAGGAGGAGGAGGAGGAGGAGGAGGGGGAGGAGGAGGAGGAAGAGGAGGAGGAGGGTGAATGTCATCGATACTCAAATTAGGATACAGAGTGTTAAGAATAGAAGCGCGCATCACAATGGCTGCACCCAAAGCCTCCACTGCACTCATCGTCTCGGCAGCAAAAGTGCTGCGACATACTCTCCTGATGGTAGCGGACCTCCAGTCCACCAAAGCAGCCTTGCCCTCGCCGTTCTCGAGGATCTTCGTCTCGGTCACGAATACCAAAGGACCTGCTTGACTGTTAGCCTTCAATCTCTTCGGGGCCTCCGAAGCAAAATTTGTCTTGCATCGACGCCTGCACCACCAGGCTGTGCCAGATACCCTGTCGTCGGGCTCGTACATTAGCCCATGCAGCATCGTGAAATACAAGAACACATAGCTCGCCATCCAACTTCAGAACCGTGATGGCGGTCTCCTTGTAGCGCTTGGCCTCTGCCCCTATGCGATACGTCTCGATCAGGTCGGCTACGGTCGGCGAGTTCTGCACTCGCTGCGCCATTGAAACTCCCGCGGATCGGTCAGGGCGGGTCCGAGTAGCAAGCCATCTCAAGCTTCCGAATAAACTCCGGTTCTCGGCGGTCTCGATCTCCG